GAGACGGGGAGGAAGAAGGGGGTGTGGGATAATGATTCTAGGGTTTGAGTTGAGATAGATATAAATTAATTTATTGTTAAAAATATTTTTTTTAATTATTAATTAAAACCTGATTTTTGAAAAGTAGAACTTGAATCAGGATTTTTGAAAATGGAAATCTAAAAACAGGTGTAGGTGTAATTTCCTCTAGATATAATTTATAAAAAATAAAAAAATTCTGATTCAAGATAAAAATTAAAGTTAATTACTTCATAAATAAAAGAACTAAAATATGAACAAAATTTACGTACCTATGTTGCTATTGCTGGTAACTTGTCTTTATCTAATGGAAGTTATTGTTAGGTCTCTAATTCAGCAAATTCGACAGTCTACCAATTATGAGCTCCCGCTAAAGGTAGAGGTGGCAATCGAGCCGAGCGTCTCGTCTGCTCATAAAAAAGCGGCTTGTGAGCCACTCGGGCCCGAACCGAGCAGCGAGCCAGCCCATTGTTTTGACAAGCAGCTCGTGGGCTCGTAAAAAATGTGAGAAAAAAACTTTAAAAAAATTAAAAAATTAACAAAAAAAAAAACGAGCTAGGCTCGGCTCTTGAGCTCACGAGCTCGTGGGCCGAGCCGAGCTCATGGGTAGATGGGCGTCTCGGCTCATTGTCACCACTAGCTTGAAGATGGAGATTAGAATGAAAAGAACTTAATACCCCCGGTGATATGCAAGTAAGTTCTTTACAAAATTTTTGGAGTTTTAATAAACCATGACTTTCTCAATTAGTGTTTACTCTTTGGAGTTTGGAGTAGTTATTCATCAAGAGTCACACCATTTTAATTTTTTTTTGATAAAATAACAATATCATTGATCATCAAAGTAGCAAATGGATACAAAGAGGATTAACCTCTAACCCAGTGCCCTCCTAAGAGAGTTTAAGTGCTTCCTATGCCTAAGCATGAGCTACCACAATATCCAAACAAGTCCCAAAGACAAACAAAGAAAAGAAAAACCAAAGAAAGCCCTATCCTATTCCAACCGAAGCCACGACCTAAATCCGGCAGTGAGCGAAAAGGAAGACAACAAGGACCAATCCTGGAGCCAGATAAATCCCGGCGAAAGCAACTGGACGGACAAAACAGGCCGTGAACAGGTCACGCCTGCACCGACCACAAAGCCACCCCAAGCCGGAACACACCCTGCCCCAACCAAAGAACTCACCGTCTGAAAACACCTGAAACACCAAGCCCAAACACGAACCAACGCCATGGATAGCAACTGAAGCATACAGGCAGAGCCACACCACCAAACAAAACCTCACAGACAAGGAGTCAGGAGGACAAAACTAGGATTCCAAAGGAACCTAGAAGAAAACCCTCACCTTTGCAAGCAAAGGGAGGGGAAGAAAAACCTCACCTTTGCAAGCAAAGGGAGGACCGGGAGTGGAGAGCCGAAGAGAAAAGAGGACAATAAGGAAAAAAACTAAAATAAAAGAACTAAAAGGTTGTACGTGCTGTTAAAAAAGTCATAAAAAGTTGACTTATAAACAGGGGTAGACGCAAAACTTAAAAGTTAGGGGGTACAATCGAACTTGCAAAAAAGTTGGGAGAAATTTTACAATCGAAATTTTACATCCAAAAAAATCACACCCTGTGTAATTTTGTATCCAAAAATTTACATAGAATATGACTTTTTCAAATGTAAAATTGAGTTAAACGTCTTTCTTTAAAACACATGTTTAACGTATTTTCGATATCTATTTGGATTATTTGATATGTCTATAATGTAGTTCTTGAAATAAGTTTTGAGATGACATAAGCAATTTGTAGATTCGATTGGCGTACGATCGTTAAAGAATTTTTTAAGTTAGCATATATCGAAATTTTTGAAATACTAATTTTGAACGGCTTACTTTGACAAGTCGTAGCATGTGCTACGATTGATCATTTCGTACGTCATTAACGACGTAGAAAACTAGACTGTGAACACTTCGAAATGGTATTAAGAATGCAATATTTCGCCCTTATTTGATGGAGAGTTAAGATTTTGTTAAAAGGTGAGAGAAAAAGAGAAAAATTAAAATTTATTGTGATTTTGCCTCTATTTGATGGAGATTAAAATCAAATTTTTAGTAAATTTTGATAAAAGTTAAATAGTTATGGATTTTATGAAATATGTTATTAAAATTAATTGTTAACTTTGATTTAGATTAAAATTTAGATTTCAATCGATACCAAACATGACTTTAAAAATAAAAAAAAATTCTCAAAAGTTGGGGGCACGTGCCCCCGAACCCCCGGGTCGGCCAGTGTGTGTCCAAAAGACACTAATCACATCACTTTAACCTTTAAAGTGAAAAAATAATTAATGGACTTTAGTTGTCTATGTTACCACCTGTTTGCAGTGATGCAATATCATGATGAAAAATATTGCATTCATTCTCATTATAATTTTTTTCTAGCATTGTATTTCATAAGATATTCTACAAGAATTAAAAGGGGACAAAGTCGAGTTGCAACGGAAATTTCTATTTATAGTATGTATAAGAGTCGAAATACGAGTAGGTCCCTTTCTAACGTTAGATGATCCATACATGACGAGAAATTAATGTGCAGAGTTAAGCAATAGCACGTAGAGTGACAAATAAAGAATTTGCGTCATTATAATAAAATCACATTGATCTTTTTAAAAGTCTAAAATACCTAACGATAAATTGAAATTTCTTACATAATTAGTTACAAACACACTTTTAAATAAGAATTTGTCGCAAAAGGTTATGTAAACCGAAACCCTACTGATAGATAAGGAACACTATCTAATTAATCCTTAATACGTAAATTTAAATTCGGATTAGTAACCAATTCCATCATGAGATTACTAAAAAAGTCACACATAAGCAAAAAATCTTAAGTTCATATCCTCGATCACGAGCCATATAATTATCGCTATTGAGAAAACCCACCAACATTATTTTGTTAACGAGGTAAATTTAGCTTTCTTTTTAATAAATGTTCATGAAATATTTCGTATGGAAGAGAGGTACATGATATGTTTGTTCATTGTTGTATTTAATATGATAAATATATACTAAATAAAATTGATTATATAAACTTTTTTTGTTATATTCGATTAATGTATCTGATCCCTAATCTTAATAACTTCGTTTAGTTCAATAACTTTTCAAATGGAAAGTGCCTTTTTTGTTAACTTCTTCTTTCTTTTTTCGTGGCGAGGTTACAAAAGGAGGATGATGAATTTTATTTTTGAAACCTATGTCATAACTAATAATTTATAAAATCAAAACGACTCCACAAATAAAAATTAAAATAAGAAAGGGAAAATTGATGCCCCAGGTGTAGTGTGTTCATAGTACACAAATAATTTTCTTAACTTTGGAAAAGTTTTGCTAGTGACTTATATGTCACTAAAGTTAAAGTGATGAGACTTTGACAATTGGGGAAAAAGACAGGAAGTGTGGATAAATATTTTTATATACAATCATGCTAGAAAAACAGGGAAAATTGATAGGAAATTTTTGACAAACACACTTGGCGAGATTTCATTGGAAAGTGGAGCTTTTTTTAAAAAAACGGGCGAATCACAGTCTGCCACGTCGTGTCGGTTTCCAATCCCTGTCACCAAACCCTGTTTGAGTGGCTTTATCCTTGTACATAATCACTGGAGGGTGTCCTAACTTTTTTTTTTTT